ATTCTGGGTCTGCCAAGGAAAAAAGATAATTGAACTGGAGCGATCCATGCTGTGGATCTGAGAAGTGAGGCTTACAAGACTGACCAATTGTATGCCATCAGGTCAACACCGATTTTTAGTGGACATACCGACATACTCCAGGGTGAATAGACTTGTAGCCTTGAATAGCAATAAAGAGGACATTAAGGATAAACCACCTTTCCAATTTATTTGGGCATCAAATTACATGAAATAAATTCTACCCTCACATAAAATCCATTAATCTATTATTTTTGAAATGCCAATCCACAAAAACCAGGAATAACCCCCCCCTAACTGATGTTTAGATTTCCAAGGTGATACTTACACAATTGCCTTTTCCTTCCTCACAGAATCAGCTGACGGCCCTTTGTGGAAAAGCAACAGTTAAGTCAAGTTGAAGAAATTTCCTGCGTTTCCTTTGTGTAAAGAAACTCCTTGATATATAGTTAAAGCAGCAGGCGATTGGTTTTAAGGATTTATTGCATATTAAACTTTGTATATTTCTCATCCAGAAACACTTGGTGACTTGACATTTGAAGCAAACGTCCTTAGTGGGAGACTGAATGTAAAATGGTTATTTGCATTCATTTCCCCAGATCGGAATTTATGCTTGTATGAATACATGAAACGTAAGTGAATTTAGCTAAATGTTTATTGAAACTGATCTTCCATTAGAATTAAAAACTGAAGAATGCCCTTGGAAGTTCTGATTTGGGTTTAGTTTTTGTCACCTTGATGATCAGGTTATAAAATTGCCTGATTTTTGACATGATTTTATAGCGAACATACATACGACAAGGTGAAGCCCCAAAGATCTGTGTTTTTTAAGACTTTCGAGAACGGCTCTTAATACAGGAAAATCCCAATATAATCTTCCTATCGAAGGAGGATTAACTGTCTGAAATGTAGATCTGCCTGCATGCTCCAACTGTATTACGGTACTACCACATTCAGAGCCTGATCTTGTTTTTAAAAGTTGGCTAGAGATATGCTAGAGTCCTTGACTTACAATCTTTTGTTTAGTAACCTAGTGACCAATGTAATAGAAATATGTCACATAGGATACCGTATTTTTCCAAGTATGACGCACTTCCCCCCCCTAAGAGGGTGAAAATTTGGCTGCCCACCTGCTGGCCCCCTCGGAAAATGGGACGCGCAATAGACTATGGCAATCCCTGCAGCCTGAAACAGTTGGTCTTCGGGAGGCCGATCCAACCGACAATCAGCTGCTTATGCTAATCAGGCTGTGCTGAAGCTGAAACGGGCTGTTTGCTGCAAGGAGGCAAATTGCTCAGAGGCAGAGGCAGAGGCAGATTTTTTTTTTGTGCTAATCAGGCTGTGCTGAAAATGAAAAAGGCTTTTTACTTCAAGGAGGCAAATTGCTGGGAGGCAGAGGCAATTTTTTTTCTTGTACTAATCAGCATGTGCTGAAAATGAAATTGAAATAAGCTGTTTACTGTTAGAGGAGGCAAATTGCTGGGAGGCGGAGGCAGATTTTTTTTTTTATTTCCTCCCCAAAAAAGATAGGTGTGTCTTATACTCCAAAAAATATGGTATATACCTTGTAAACATAAATCACCCTCCTGAGATGCCACGTACATCTGTGGGGTGGGGTGGAAACATTGTAGAAGCTCTGGCATGGGGGTATCTCCTTGCTCTGAGAACTTAAGACAAAATTAATGTAAATACAATTCTGAAAAATTACTGTCTCGATAGAATACTTGTAATTTACTGTATTGCTAAATCCCTGTGGCTTTTGAGGTTGACTTTTGTGTTCATGACTAGGTTTTAAGAAGCATCAAAGGGCAGAGCCTTTTGTACAACTTTAGCTCAGATCCTAAGGGGAGGGTGGAGCGGTAGAAGGGAATAGTGCTCAGCAGTTATCTTCACTCTTTGAATTACCTCTCAAACCTCTGCATGTTCTGGTTACAAGGCAGTAACTGCCAATAATTGAGTTTATGGTTGACCTCCATGAATCTTCAAGAACTTTCTTTGCATTACAGAAAAATGTATAAGCATTTTGTGCTTCGAGACTTTTTAAAGTAGACCTCAGGTAGACAGTTGGGTCTTCAATTGTGCAAGTCACACACAGCTTTGCAAGGGTTAAATGAATGTTTGCAAAGGGGTTATTGCCTCGTCTTAAAAGCTTTCTTAAAAGCCATTCAAGAGCTGAGTTTAGCTTATACTAACTTAAGCATACTAATACAATCGTCTCCTGCCCTGCAAGTTACATGAAATTTTAGGATATCGACCCACAATCCTTTCTCTCTTCTCTGCAAAACCTGTTCACTTTCAAGAGGAATTTGATCTGAGCTTAGCGGTATAAAGGTTAGATTGTTTTACCCTGAGGAAGAAGTAATTTCATTTTTAAGAACAGGATAGTTTTTTTTTCCATTTGGAAACTTAAAAAACTGAAAATCATGCTCCTTCAAATTGTTGTGGCCTGCCAGTGGAACTCGTGGCGGAGTCATACAGTGAGGAGGTTGGAGAGGAACACGGGCCAGTCCTGGAGTTTGGGGAAGGCTCTGATGAGGGCTCTGTGTCGGAGGCAGAGAGGGGGCCAGGGCTGTCTGACAGTTATCACCTGCCTTCGGAGTCAGACATCAGTGGGGCAGACGAACAGCTGGAGCCTGTTCCCAGTGTGCGCATGCAGAGTTGCCAGATGAAGGGAACAGCTAAAGAACAAGGGTCGACTTGGGAGTAAGGCCACAGGTGGATGATGAATTATTATTCCCAGAGGGAATAAAAGAGGAGCGAAAGGGGAGTGGAGTTTGCAGGAGACAAATAGTTTGCATAATTGGTTTGTGACTCTCCGAGACTCTTTGCCAAGTTTTGAAAATATCGGCCTGGCAGCTCTCCAAGGCAGACTGGATTGCGTAAGGAGAACACAGGAGATGCCGAGAAGCAAAGCTAAAATGAAATGCCTTTTTGGTGGGTTTTCTTAACATAGGTGAAGCCTGGCCTAGTCCTGCTACATCTATCACCTGGTTCTTCCATCAAAAATAATGCCCCTATGTCTTAAAACTGGGGATATTTAGTTCAATGGGATTGGATTGTTGGGGCTATAGGCTTGGCCTGACACACCCCAGGCCCGTTTGCTTCCTTAAAGCTGATTTCCTTTAGTTTTCTTTGGTTCAAGCTAGTCAATACTGGAAGTGATTTGCTTCAAAACTGCCAAGACCTACTGTCAGCTGTGAATTGATAAGAAAGAAATCCGTTACAAAACGTATCATCATACACCAATGGTTTTTATTAAGTTTCAGAAACCTTTTTTTTTTCACAAGATGGTAAAAAAACTCTTACAACCACTTCTTTTTTTTTCTTTTTTTTTTTCACTCTTCCATGGTTTTCCCCATCAGCTTCTATTCCCGTGTGCCGAAACCCAATTTACTTACCATGCATCTAAAAGGGATAGATACAGGCTATGAATTTCTTTATTCTATTTTGTAGCAGCTTATGCAGATGCAGCCAGATAACCAAGCCTCGGGACAAAAATTTTTACACAAAACTTTACAATGTAGAATTTTTTTGAATTTAAAATAGAGAAAACTTAAAATCTACACAAAAAACTGGTAAAAATCAAGCACAAGTACAAGGGCTGGAACTTAATCCAGATGGAACAGGAGAGAGTCTCACCTTCCTTTCAAGTGCCTTTATTCTGCTACAGAACAGTCAGTCGAGGAAAAAAAAAAAAGATGTAAGCTTTTTGTGTGTGTGTGTGTGTGTGTGTGTGGTTAGTTTAAATTATACACTTCTGTAGATACTATGGACCAATTTTAAAAGTTACACATACAGCAACATATGTCCATTGGGCTCATGTGCATTGTTTTAGACAATCCAACTGTTGCTGAGAACAAGTCAGGCAAAATTTTGAAGAGAGAAAAATCCATGTGTAACTTCCCTTACCCCGCCCAGGACAGATATTTTTTTCTTTTTACTGATGGGCACACTGCACCCCCGGTCCATGATGGCCACTTTCCTCATCGGAGCTATCATTGTACGCCTCGCGCCTCTGCCCACCGCTTGACCCACGAGTGGTGTCAAATTCTTGAAGGTCTACTTCTTCCGCTTCGCTAATTATGTTGGGAACTTCTGGTCTGGAGGGCAGAAGATCTTCAAGTTCCTAAAAGTAAAATATCGTGAATTTATCGTTATTTGGCCAAGTGTGATTAGACACTCAAGGAATTTGTCTCCGGTGCAGAAGCTCTCGTTCTACATGCAAAGTAACAGAATTGAGAATGATAATAATACTAATAAGAGGAAGGAGTAAGAAAGATAATACCGTTTCCCCCAAAATAAGACATCCCCTGATAATAAGCCCAATCGGGCTTTTGAGCGCATTGGCAATGAGGCCAAGCGCTTATTTCAGGGTTCAAAAAAATATAAGACAGGGTCTTATTTTTGGGGAAACACGGTGTGTTTTTAAAAAATAATACTACAGCCATCCTGTCAGCTTTGGAAGCCATATTAGGCCGGAAGCTTCCATGCTGCCACCTTCTCATGTGTGGGAAAGTAGGAGTGGGGATTTAGTAGAGGGGTTGTCTGTAGACCTAATAGCATTCTTCCTGTCGGTCAAGGTCAAGCCGATCCTGCATCTGGAGGACTGGTCAGAGCGATGTCTCGAGATGGGATGGCGGTTGATTGGAGCATGTGATCGATTGAGGAATGAGGGGATGGTTTTGGGGGTTTTGATTTACTGAGGGAAACCCTGGACCTCTCAGATTTGCATTTTCCCAGATGTGCCAGTTAACCTATTCTAGTAAACAGAACTTTGAAAATGTTTGCTTCAGAGTCTTTACTTGGAGCTGGGGTTTTTTTCTGGAATATACGTGAAATACATGTAGACATTAGAAAGCACTGTGAGAATTAGGTGTGCAACAGAGCGTTGGCCTGAGGGTACTGCATGGAGTTGTCATTCTATTTATGCCTCCAAATGTTTATGGTTATTTGATTTTTCAATATAACTTGCCTTTTGCTTATATATCATGGTGTGGCTGCCTGCCCTACGCCCAAGATCCCTGGAGAAGGTGGAATAATGATGTGGAGCGGGCCAGATGATGTGATTTTCCTGTGTTTAATATTACGCTTAAGATTTAATGGCACGTAGAGAGAGAGGAGGTGTGAAGAGTTTAGGATTTTCACATACTCTCCGGAGAAGAGAATTATTTACCAGACTGCTTCGCATACTTACTGTAAGCTTTTCTGGGCTAATCCAGTTGTTTTCAGGAAACTGCACATCAAACTTTATATAAAGATCACCCTTTTCAAAAGGGTTGCGATATTGTGGCATTCCTTCCCCTCGAACTACCCGGACGGAGCCTAGAGTTAAAAAAAAAAGGAGCAGTGTCAACGAAGGGCAACGTGTCCTTTCTCTCTAGGCAAAAACATTTTTTTAAAAAAACAAACCGTTGGTAGGTGGAAGAACTTTCAGAACAGCAGTATACAAGTTTTTACCTGGCTCAATTACTTTTCCTGGAGGATATTTCACCACAATCTGACGTGCATCGAGGTGCTTAAATGTGAACTGAAAGCCACACAGGGCTTCAACAAGTCCAATCTTGTGCGTCATGTGCAGATCATTTCCATCTCTCTGGAACATCTTGGGAGAAAGAGGGGAGAAGGGCAGGGTTGGGTTTTTTGCTTTCGCCA